AAGAGACATGATGGGTAATGACATACATTCTTCCTCTCCACCCCATACAGTTCTGTTGTTTGGCCCCAAGTGTTGCACAATTTTTGAAAACTTACATGCTTTCAACATTGCATTCATGTAGTTAACAACAAATCTAGTTTGGCTCTTAGTCCCCACTGGCTGAGTAGCATTACAAATAAAGTGTAAGTATTAATTTATTTATGGGTCTGAGTAAGTATTGAGGGGCCTGTAATTTATGTGGCTAAATAAATTTAAATTAATGCTGGCTTGAGTAATTCCCCCTCATTTTTAGGGCCCCTTCATCCATTGCAAAACATGTTAACAATTTTTGAGAGAAAGGGCAAATTCAAGAAAATGTGAATTGTTGGAAAGCTTGGCCACACATTGCAGGACTGCTCAACCAGCCCCTCCCTATTTTGCTGCCTCTTCAAGCTGTGGCTGGACTGCTATGCTTAGTTTGTAATTTGGGAGGGCACACGCCAGAGAATTGGGGCTGCGTTGTGGAGCGGCTCCCTTGGAGTGGCTTGAGCGATGTACTCCATGTACTTCTCTGTTCTCTCCGGGCTTTGCAACAATCCTCAAGAGAAGTGAGGAGCAGACAAGTGAGGGGCAGAAACGTATTTTCCAAGCAATAACGTATCATTCCTTGTTGTGATCCAAAGTGTTTTGGGGTGACTTGGTTTTGACAGCACAATTAAGACCCGTTCCCTTTTCAAGAGAAAGAATATGGTGAAATGGAACACTTTTCAGACTGGTTGGCTGATGTGGCTCAACATGGCTGCCAGGATTTTTGACTGTCCTTGAGGCCATGGCCATGAGCACTGTCATTAGGAGTGTCTACATGGCCACATTTGCCTCTCTTAGATGAACTGGATATGTATTCTTGCCCCCCACCTTCTCCCACTGCAAAGCAGAGGGAAAGCAATAGCTGGATATTCGGCAGGCCTGGGTGTCCCTGAGGACCAGATTCGGCCCAGGCTGTGGCTCCCCACACTTTGGACTCTGCAGAGAGGCAACCTCAGCCTACTCTTAGATGCCTGGAATACTTTAATCAATGAAACGGAATTTCACGTTGATGGGGAATGAAACAAGGGCAGTGTTCTGGTGCCACAGGGGCTGTAGTGTTCCAGGAATGCTTGTGACATTTAGGAAGAAATGGGGTACTTTTCCTTCCTTCCTGCTACCAGACTTTATTGGCCTTTGAAAATATCACCAGAAAACTCAGAGCCTTTCCAAGCCATTCTCCTGCATAATTTACAAGGAACTTTCTGGATAACAGCTGCTGTGGTTTGCCTAGCTGTGACTTGGTGGTGTGATGGTGCTTGGAGCAGTGTAATGTATACACTACTAGTCTGGGGGCCTCCAGCCTTCTGTTCTTGGGATGTCTCCAGCTTACCTACTCTAATGCCTCATTGGGTGCTGGCACTGCCAAAGATTTACTCCTAAGCAGTCGGTGGATTTCCAGATTATTACAGGAAGCCCAACCAGACTATAAAGGCAAAAGCTTTCCTCTGCTGTTGTCTGCAAGCTTCTTGTTAGTAATAAGCCAACATTCTCAGCAGTTCTGGCTAATTGTTTGATGCAAAATCAGCCTATATGTCATTTCTAGAAATGTAAACAACTTTTATTGCCTAAACTTGGCTGTGGTGCAATCCAAACTCATCTGGGAGTGAGACACATTGAACACAGCAAGACCTGCTTCTGGGTAAACATGCTAAATCTGTGCTATAAAATGTCTGAAACTCTTCATATTTTTGTTGAATGGGAGGTGCTTCAACTGTTTCATCATTTAGGTCACCTGTGTTTTGCAGGGGTGGGGGGAAGACCTGTTCCAGTAAGCCAGGTAAATGTATTTGCTAAATACCATTGGTCATCATAAGCAACAAAGTCAGAGTGTATGATACATTTTAAGATGGATGATCCACAAAATGCTGAATCATGCTTTGCATAATTAGATATAGAAATATGATGAGATATACATTTGTTGAGCTGTGACAAAATAGGTTGCTTTATATGTTTGTAACATGTAAAACTTCCTTTCCACTTGGTTGTCTGCCAGGCTCAACATTCAGAACAGCCTTCCCCAACCTGGAGTTTTCCAGATGTGCCAAGCTATAATGCCCATCATCCTCAGCCAGTGGCTAGGCTGGCTGGAGATGATGGGAGCTATAGTATAGGACAAGTGCAAACTGATGGGTGCTGGTACTGTTCTCTCACAGCCACTTTTATATGTCCGTGTTATTTCAACATTTCCTACTTGGAATCCTACTCTTCAAGCCTGAAACAGACCGCCCCTGTACTGTGCTGAGTTGTAATAAGATTATACATTCCAATCCTTCACTGCAATGGCTCAGGAGGGGTCATTCATCTTAAACATGATTATCTGGGCCTGAAGAGATTTTGTGCTGGGACGATTAGGCCTGTATGGCCAAGCTTTTGGCCGGCCAGAGGATGGGCTCCTGAAGCTTGTGGCTTTCTCTTCTACCACTTCCTAAACAGGTTGGGAGGCTTTTTGGGGCAGGGGTGGGGTTGCCAGACACGGAGGATGAAGGACCTATTTCTGCTTCTTTGGCTGGTTCTTGTCGTGCATGAAGCTCCGACAGAAACAGTGACTCACGAGGAGACCTTGCACTTGGCACCCAGTGCCCAAGAGTCGGCCCCACCACCCAATGCAGGGATGGCTGAGCCAGCTACTGTGTCTTCCTCTGAGCCCCAGCACGTTGAGCAAACGCCTGGACCTTTATCAGAGACAGAGAGTCATGAGAAAGAGGAAGCTGCAAGTTCTACTCAGAAGGAGGCAGAGCAAACTGCCTCTTCCCCCCCTGCTGCTGATCTCCCTGAGCCAGAAACAGAAGACACAGTGGGTGTCGTGGATTTTTCAAGAGCCCAGAACAGACGTGTTTTACGCCGATTTGAACAGCTACAGAGTGGACTGCGTAAGAGGGAGGAAAGGCGTGACTTGGGAGAATGATCCCACGTGGGCTCAGGAAGAGGAGCCATCATAGGGCTGACATCTGCTTAGCAAGGACCGCTATTAGGGAACTTATCTATAGAATTGTAAATCTTGTAGACAATTAGCATTAAAGGACTTTAGTTTTATTGCTCTAGAATGCGTGGAATGTTTACATACCGGGCTCCCCCTCCTGACAGTTCTGTACAGATCAAGAACTTAGCACTCCTAGGCAGGGATTGGGAACTTGCAGCTGTCCATCAGTCCTTGGACTCCACTTCCCAGCAGTCTTAGCTACACAACCAATGGTCAGCAATTACGATATAGTTCAACAACATCTGGAGAGCAACCAACTCTCCACCCCTGCTTACAACACCTTGCTGGCCCTGTCCAAGACCATCAGCCTGGTCTCTGTGCTTCTGAGCTATGCCCGGCACTCCTCTCTTCTCCCAAGTTTTACTCCCTCCTCTCTGTTTTCTCCTCTGTTGTCAGACCTGGTGTACAGGCGCTGCTGGGAATTAGAGGGGCTGTCGTTCTTGGTGTGCACTCCTGGGTCACACCAGTCTGGATGGAGAGGAGGAGGTGGAGGGGCCTGGGAATCTGACGCTGAGAGGAGCGAGGCGGAGGAGTTTATCTCGAGGCCGCTCTCTCCAGGTGCTGAGGCAAATTCTGGGGACAACCAAGACGTGCGGCTGCTGGGAGGGGGAACTCCTGGGAGGGGAGTCCTCAGGGCCAGGTGAGGCTGGTGCGACTCTGGACCCCTGGTGTGGCATCGGGAGAGGAGGACTAGCCCACCAGAGGGGCGGCGTGCAGAGAAAAGGTGAGCTCGCTTCCAAAGGGACCCTCCCAGAGGGGTGGGCCCCAGACAGACTCAAAAGGAGGTTCCCAGAAGAAGAGGCTAGACTGGGTTCAACAAACCGTTCTGTGCACGCCCAGAGATTCTTTCTGTGGTGACTGAGTTTATTGGATGTACTTTTGCAAAGGAATGGCCTGTTGCCTTGCAAGAGTGAAGGGAGGAAAACTTAGCTCCTGACAGGTGCCAAATGAGAGCCAGAAATGACAAGCAGGGGAAGTGATGACTTCTTGGGCTGTTTCAGTTGGTCTTGTGTAAAGAGGCTATTTCGTAGACTTTTTTGTTAACAGAGAGCACTAACCAGCTAGAGCGGGCAGAGCCCCTCCAGGGCCCAGGAACCTTCTCCTATCCTGGGACTGCTCCAGTGCAGTCTTCCCTAACCTGGTGCCTTCCTGATGTGTAGGAATGTAACTCTTGGCCAACTGGAAGACACCAGATGAGGGAAGGCTGCTCTCTGGCGTCTTCGCACACAGGTCCAGGTGCTCCTCATTTCATCCGAGGAAGTTCTTGCAACTGATCTTTTAACCATCACACACAACCATTGGGACAATTCAAGTCCCAGTGTATCCTTCTGGACCCTCAAGGCCACCGATGGGGTTTCCCATACAATGTGTGTTTATTTGTTATTATAACTCATAATAATGTGAGTTATTACTAAAAGTAGTAATAACTTTTTACTACCTGTTATTTTTGCTGTCTGATTATATGTTTTATATTGTTTTAATTTGCTACCAGTGTTCTTCTCTCATGTTACGATCCTATTTTTAGACATGTCCGTGTATCTTATGTTGTGTTTTATTGTAGATTACTTTAATATATTATGGGCTGTCTTGAGAAAAGTAACCCTGGAAGTTGTGCTATAAATAAAAAAATCAACAATTAAAAATAAGCACAGTGAGTACTTCAGCTACAGTTTAGCTTTTAAAAATAAACATAGTGATTGATTGCATACTATTTGCATTTGGAATGTGAACTACCTCAAAAAGATAATTTAACCACATTTTATGAGACCCACTGCTTAATCCATCATTATCTTGCTTATGTGTGCATAGGAAGTAGGGCACAGGGGAATAGTCCAACATCCTACTTGTTGGCCCATAGGAAGTTTAAGTCACAGTTGCAACATCCAACAGCCTGAACTGCATGCACAAAGTTCTAATTCCATGCAAGATGAGAGTTAAAAATAAAGCAACTCACCACTCCACCCCCTGCAGAGTGAACTAGCACCGACATGCCTTCTCGCAAGTTGGCCACTTCAAAGAGCATCATGTATGCAGTTACAAAGTTCATAGGGAAAGCAGCAGCTTCGGAGAAGCTCATATCTTCTGGGATTTTGTACACAAATTCTAGGGGTGTGCACACAACTTCTGCCCAAGCGTTGTAGTTGACAAAAGCCATGACTCGGTCTCCAATCTAAAGTAATTTGAAAAAAATCATTTTTAGATTATGACAATCAGGAGTCTCCTAGCATAGAAGCTACATGTGTGTTTTGAACAGGAATATCAAGTGATGACTTGTACACATCAAAGGCTTATCATGAAACAGAACACTTCTATGCCCTGCAGGCAAAATTCTTTCCAGTGGGAGACAGTTTGCACATTCGTCTGACAATCATCAAATGTATGTTCAGTAAACGGTCAATGCATATGTGTCTGTGGTTCATGTCCCTGAGCTCAGAAACACAAGTCTTAGACCTGGTTTTCACAGAATGCTAACTCATGGATGATTTGATCCGTGGGTTATTGAATTCTGAATGGTTATGATGTGCTAACCCAACAGTGCTAACAAAGCATGGATTGCTAACCACAAACCCAGAAAGAGAACCTACATTGTTAGGTAGTGAACTCTGGGCTGTGAATTCTGGGTTGTTTAAAGCAAGGGCTATCATTACATGTGAACCCAGAACTGTGGGTTGTTTCTCCATGCTGTAGAGGCAGTGGGCAAGAATGGGCAAGACTATGGAAGTGGGCTGGGGATAACAAGATGGCATTCAATGCAGATGAGTGCAAGGTCTTGCACTTGGGGCATAGGCTTGGGTGTCATAAGTACAGGTTAGGGGACAAGTGGCTGGAGAGCAGCACTTGTAAAAGGGACCTCGGGGTGCTGGTTGACTGCAGGCTGAACATGAGTCAGCAGTGTAATGCGGTGGTCAAGAGGGCGAACGCCACCCTTGGTTGCATAGCCAGAAGTGTGGCTTCTAGATCAAGAGAGGTATTACTACCACACTATACAACTCTGGTACGCCTGCAACTGGAGTATTGTGTTCAGTTTTGGGCCCCTCATTACAGGAAGGATATACCCAGGTTAGAGTCAGTGCAGCGTAGGGCCACAAGGTTGGTGGCTGGTTTGCAGGGGATGCCGTATGAGGCGAGACTGAGGGAACTGGGTCTCTTCAGCCTGGAGAAGAGGAGACTCAGAGGGGATCTGTTGGCGACATATAGATACATGAAGGGTTGTCACACAGAGGAGGGTAGAGACCTGTTCTCCCCTGTGGAGGAGGGCAGGATGAGTTTCAATGTAGGAAAGTTCAAGGAACCAAGGTTTAATTTGGATGCCAGGAAGCACTTCCTGACAGTTAAGACCCCTAGGATATGGGATGGGCTTCCACGGAAAGTGGTTGAGGCCCCATCGGTGAGGGTGTTCAAGAACAGGCTGGACATGCACGTTAGGCATGTCATGAGGGGAGCCGGCTGGAGCCGGGGGTCAGACTAGATGGCCCAGGAGGTCCCTTCTCATTTGTTCTGCTTCTGTTTTTATGTTTAGTACTAAATGTGTGAACTGGGTTGTGATCTTTGCTTCAGATATGAGGCAAACATTACACTTAGCAATTTCTTCTCAGCTTGGATTTGAATGCATGGCTTAGTGGTTGTGGGGATAGCAAAAACTCAAAATTTCAATTAGCAAAAAAGCCTAGGGCACAGGGCTCAACATTCCCCCACCCCCAGTGCAGCTACTACAAACAAATTAGAGTCCCACGGAGCTGTTTAAAAGTAAATACATTCATGTCGTGATTTTTAATCGCATGTCTGCCTTATGACATCGTGTTTTCTTCTTAGCTCATGCTCACTCAGGTCACGGTGCTCCTGTACAATTTGTTCTTTTGGGAGAGGCAGAGGGGCTACCCAGCAGTTCTGCAGACAATTGGCTATCCCAGAAACTACCCAGTCCCTCCAATTGCGTTGGAAAGATGAGCAATTTTTCTCCACAGACCTTGATGGGCTGGATGTCTCCATCTCTGATCAAAGCTAGGCTTATATCACAATTCTCAATGAATGTGGAGTAAATTCAGTAATAAACGATATCATGTTGGACCTATCACTTTTATAAAAAAGTAAGAAAGGAGAGTTCAGACTGCAGACTTTATATCATTGCATTCAACTTTATCAGTTCCTTTTGATTGGTTTTAAAATAGGAAAGCAATACACATTACTCTTGTGGCTGAAATTCAATTACTTACCAAAATGATATAACATCAGTAAAAAAGACGGAAAAGACTTATTTCAGATACAAAACAGTAGACCAGTTTTTAAAATAGAGATTATTATTCTATATATTCTGTTCAGGCATGCTATGTTGGCACCCATAAGAATAAAAGCAATTCTTCCAGTAATGTTACTTGCAAATTTTGGTACAGATAATAATAATTATTATTTTCATTTCTATACTACCCTGAAGCTAAAGCTGCCTGAATGATACTTAAAGACATTTTAAGAGAAGCTTTGTTTTCTACAGGCTTCATTAAAAAAAAAGATATTATTGAGCTGGTGAAGAAATTGTTAGCTACAATGATAAAGATTTAGGCTTTCTTTCCTATAAAGAGAGACAAAAGAAATTGAGGCATTATACCTTATTGAATAAAACACGGAGTAAACTGCTAAAACATCATGATCTATGATTTGGGTGAAAAGAATGTGGAAGCAAATTGTTCTTCCTGGAAAATGCAAGAGTTGCGAGAACTTGTTCACAACACTTCACTTACAAGCTCGTTATCAAATGATGTCTATCCAACATCACACACACTAACAGCAAACTCCTTCTGGAAATGCCAGGCCACATACAGTCAACATGGCACACGAGAGAGAGGTCTCTGCTTGCTTGATGGAACCCCAAGTTCTGCAGAAGTACGAAACAAAAACGCACAACACAACTTCAGGGGGCAAACCCCTACGCTGGGAATGCGAGTGAGCGGGGGATTACTCGAAGCAGCACTGTGGCCATTGAGGCTAGTCCCACAATGCTGCTTGCCCGCTGGAAGGAGGAGAGCAGCAGAGAAAGCCAGCAGAGCGGGAGATTCAGTGCTGTACCCTGGAAAAGGGCACGGCTGACTGGCTGGAAGCCTGAGCAGGGATGCTCAGGCATTTTGGTGCGTGCCTCACTTGCCAGTGGCTAGAAGCTAGGCGATCTAGGAGTGGATTCTTCACCCTCCAAAGCGATGCAAAGCTTCTTCACCCTTTGGATTCTTCACCCTCCAAAGGTTGCTGCATGTTGCAGCACAAACAGCACAGTGCTGTGAGCAGGTTGCTTGCGCACAGTAAGTGGAAAGTACTGGGCCTCTTTCAGCCGAAGGGTGACATTCCAGGACAGGGATATGTCTGGGGGCCACACTGCAGGGGTGGGCAGGGCCAAGATCTCCCCAGGCCGGCAGATTTTAGTGTAATGCTCTTACTGTCAGCAAGTGAGCTTCAGGGGAGGCATCCAACTTTTCAGAACGGGGAAGAAACAGCACAAAAGCTGGGAAACCAGCAGATATTCAGGAGAAAGTGTGGCAGCCAGAGGAAGGGAATGCAGCTCACTGGGGAACCCCGGAGGGCCCCATGGAGACTCCAGAGTGCTGCACATGTCCTGAGGGTCTTCGAGCCCTGAAGTGTGACGCATCACACCCCTTGTACAAACAAGCCAATACAATTCCATTCAGAAATCCCGAGTTGAAGAATACTGGTATCGGGTTGCAGGCTTAATTTTAAGGCTAAGCAAAACACCCAACTGGGGTTACTGGCTGGTTGCTGTTCAGGGCAGATTACTGGACTAGAAGGACTTTTGATCCAGCAACACAGCTCATGTTCTTAATGAGAACTCATTTGAAATAAAATAACTCATTTGCAAACTTAGTAGGATTAGGGTTAGGGCCATATTTAGTAGCACCCTTTGCATATTATTTCTTTCAGCACACTTGCAACAATATTTCTTTTCCAGTATCCAAGTTTTAGAATGAGTGAAATAATTGCCTACTGATTTGGACATTACTCTAAGCTGTGGTTTAGATGTGGGGGAGTAAAGAGGAATGTGGAAGCCTCTGCTTCTGTTTTAGAATATCCAAATTTATAACAACACTCAGACCTGACAAACTCTGATTTCCCTTGGCTACAATTTGTTTAAAAGAAGAACCTAAAAGAATCTAAGAGGTTTTCTGGGGAGAAAAATGTCTTATGAGAAAGTTTGCTAGTCTGCAGCTGTCATGCTTTCCACTTCATCACTTTTCCCTAGACTTCTAATGTTAAAGTTCTATAGGATTATTCGGAAGATATTTTGCCTCCAGTTTGCACACTCCTTTGAAAGTCTGGTAGCAGGTGTATGTTGCGCCCAGCCCCTGGGAAGAACCGGAGCAGGTGCCGTGCAAAATCAGGCCTCTGATCTCCTGAAAGCTGAATGCCCAGAGAAGAGCAGAATTGGAAGGGGCCAAGAAGGCCATCGGGCCCAACCCCCTGCTCACTGCAGGATGCCAGTTTCCACCATCCCACTCAGATGACCGTCCAGTTTTGCCTTAAATGCCTCTAGCATGGGACAGCCCACCACCTCTCCATGCAACTGGTTCCACTGACAGTGAGGAAGCTTTTCCTGATATCTAGCCTGAATCTGGGTTGTTGCAACTTGAATTGATTATTCCGTGTCCTGCACTCTGGTATCAGTGAGAAGAGAGCTTGACCTTCCTCTTTGTGACAGCCTTTGAGGTACTTCTAGAGGGATATCACGTCCCCCCTAAGTCTTCTCTTCTCAAGGCTGAACATGCCCAGTTCTCTCAGCCTCTCCTCATAGGGTAGTGCTTCCAAACCCTGGATCAGTTTTGTTGCCCTCTGCTGGACCCTTTCTAATTTTTCTGCATTCTTCTTAAATCTTGGTACCCAGAACTGGACACAGTATTCCAGATGATGTCTGACTAGCAAGGACTATAGGGGAACTACTACTTCTCATGGTTTGGAAGTAATACTTCTGTTAATGCATCGCAAAACAGAATTTGCTGTTTTGGCAGCTGCATCACATTGTTGGCTCTTATTTAGCCTCTTTAGCCTTTCGTGTTCAGTTCTGTTGTCCCCATCTTGTATCCCCCACCCCATGTTCTGCCTCATTTTCAGGGTGTGTTGCAATTTATTTTGAATTCTGGTGGTGCTTCTGAGCTTACCTACTCATGGCCAAGTGGTGAGGGCAGAAATACACAAGGAATCCATTTGTCGGTGGGAGTGCATTGGGTTCCCTGGACTTGGCTCTGCAGAATCCATTCTGCTTTGCACTGCTCTGCACAGATGTCTGGGTGAGCATGCCCAATGTTTGTGGGACACAGGCTTCCTCTTGGCTCAGCTTGCTTTGCAGGACCAGACTGAGCGTGAAGGGTAATCTGCAAGTGCTGGAGGAATGGATTCTGACTGGGTTCATCTATGCTTCAGTTTCTCTTACATGCCTGTCCACTGCTCTGCAGCTTTCCACAGAGGTGAACATACAGATAAAGGCAAGATACGCACACACTCTCCATGCCCACCTCATCAATAAGATGAGTACAGAAATTCTGAGCCCAGTTCCTCTGAAAGCTCACTGCGGCATTTCCTTAAAATGCTGAACAGTGGTTCAGTCTTATGTGCCGATCAGGCCACTGTGTCAAAAATATATCCAGAATCAAAGCTGAGACTGAATCCAAAATCCATTTAGTCTAATCTAAATGGATTGTTGTAAGCCGCCCCGAGGCTTTGTTGCGATGGGGGCAGCATAAAAATGTTTTAAATAAATAATAAATAAATAATCTCCTTGCCATAGTGTTGCTTCCTGAAAAATGTAAGTTTCATTTGAAGCACAGATCAACCCTGATGCAGGATAACTCCCACCTCCCGGATTGTTTAGTGCAATCCTAACCATGCTTACTTAAAAGTGGCTGTATATTCTATATTCCAGAAACAACCTAGGCCCAGGACTACAGCAAAGTGCCTAAACTGTACTGGTAGAATGCCATCACTGAGTTCCAAACTGACCTGATCTGGCTGTGTGTGAAATTCTTTCCTAACATTACAGACATCAGTTTAATCCTATAGGTAAGTTACTATTCCTATTTAAACATATAAACCCACATGAAAACAAATAAGTTGTTCCTTGTTTAAAGGCACTAGGTTTCTTGGCAAAACAGAGACAGAACAATGGAACGGTTGTGCCACTCTTCACAGAATTGTGCCAATCCTGCGTCATCTCACTAGGGTGAATTTAAAGCAGTTAATAAGAGATTGTGACAGTGTTTTATCTTATGAAGACAAATTATTATATTCACACTCCCGGTGCCTGAAGCTAAGTCCATCCACTCACCCATCAATCTAAGCAAGGAAATACTGCTTTTGGTCATCAAGCAGAGAAGCAATTCCCTTCTTGGTACCCCAGCATCATTTTCTTTCCCAGGCAGTTGTCTCTGGCTTAGTTGTCTCTGGTTCTTTCTGACACATACTGGGGCTCTTGCAAGTGGTCAGTGCCACGGGATATGCTGTACCAAGTAACCCCTTCCAATTCTACTGCTCCATGACTCAGTGATGATCATTTTCGCTGGGGATGCAAGGGATTCACCCTCTTTGTGGATGCCCAATTTATCATGGATTCTCCCTTGGCAGTGAGCTACCATCCCCACATAAAGGTGCTGCTCCAAACAGAGCAAAGGAAATGGCACATTTAGTTATTTTGCTTAGTTACATTTAGATATTTAGAAGCAGCTTCTCAGTCCATGAGCAGCCCCAGCTTGCACAGCAGTTTATTTGCAATTTATTTTTCAGCAATAGAGCAACTTTAACTGAGAGCAAATTTGATTGCATCAGTGTAGAGTAAAAGAAGGATACTTTGGTAGCAGTGGTTTGTACTGTAGACATATTCGTAGGTCCTTTCATTTCAATTACCTTGGGATGCTGAAAGGAGTATGAATTTATAAATCCTGATTTCTGCTCTGAAAGGGTGACATTTCAGCAAATCAAAGTCCCTGAAACAGGCCTGTCATCCCAATTTCTCTGATGTCGCCTTTGATCCATACCACATTTAGCAGATGTCTTGTTTCCTCTCATTATTTTTAATGTTAACGTTTAACATTAAAACATTTTAATGTGAAATGTAAGAACAACTGGATGTGAGAACAGGTGTCAAACCAAGCATCTTTACTATGAGCCTTTTACGCTGTTATGGCTGAACTGGGTAAACCCACTTTGTACAAACTTGTACGTGAAGACTGCAACACGATGTTGACGCGTGGAACCTTGCAATTGAGGATGCCAGCCATCGCAGTTCTATTCCGCTGCATCCATAGATATGAGCACTGCCCCCACCCCAGTCAATCAGCATTTCATAGCCCCTGAGCATGTCCAAACTTCATTGGATACTGTTTGGGTTTTTCTGTACTGCTGTTTAAAAGTATTTTCTCACTCCTGCAGGCTTCCCTGCTGCTGCTGACAACCACCCTCTTGTGCATGTTTGGCTGTACAAGCTGCTTTGGTGCTACTTTGGCAGTATGGACTGGCACTCGCACCTGGACACTGGAGGTAAGGAGCAGGTGATGCTATGATACAGGCAGTTTCAATTTCCATATCTTGCCTCACAATCCCTGCAACTGAATGCGCCATTTTCACTGCCATCATGCATTGAGATATAGCCTGCACTGAGGTCAAATCAACCAGTATCTGGTTAATTGAGCTTTTCCTGCCCTCAACCAAATTGAAACTGGAACAAGACTGTTTTGCAGTATACAAGTAAAGACTCCCACACGTTAAACACAAAGTCTTTTTTCCTAATCACTCAGTGCTTCAGATTATATTACCTCATAACCTTTCACGTTTTCACCCAGAGCTTCTACGATCCCAGAGCATTCAAATCCAGGTACAAGCGGTGTTTTGGGTGGATTGTCGATGTTCCCCTGCCGAACCATCAGGTCAATAAAATTCAATCCACTGTGAATAAAAGAAACAAGAGATAAAGACATGAAGTTTTGTATCATAACGGAAGGCATGCAGGAAAGCAAAGTACCAGTGAACTGGGCCACCAGCATCTTTTTCATTCAGAATCCCAGAATCTCAGCATGGAGTTCCTCTAAGAATTCTTTATTTTTTCCTACTCTTGAATATTACTTTAATGTATATATGTATCTATTTATCTATCATATTGATATCTCCCCCTTTTTCCTCAAGAAAACATAAGCCATTCACACCACCCTCCTCCTCTTCTCCATTTTATGCTTGCAACACCCCTGCGAAGTAGTCTGAGAGTCAGTGACCAGCCCAAAGTCACCTTCCTGGTCAAGTGTCGATGCGAACTCGGGTCTTTCAAACCCCATTCCAAGACTAGGACATGCTGGCTCTCATGCTGGCTCTTGCCCAGATCCTATTTGGCTTTGTCTTGCTGGTATATGGCCTGCAAAAACTCAAGGGATACCTCTGTGATGCTCCGTTCCTGGGAGTTGTACCCTGCAGGGCAGTGCTGCTTCCTGCTTCTTGTTCTCCTCTAGCCTGAGCGATGTGTGACGGACTGAGGCATCTCCACTCCCTGGCACTATGACCATTCCCTGGCCTTGCCACGTCCCTGTCAGTTGCATCTCTGAATTCCTGCTTGCAAATGATCCCTCAAGGGAATGTGAGACTGTAAAAGAGGGACTCTCTAAAGTCTTTGCTAAAGGATGAGCAGAGCATTTCTTAGGAATAATAATCTTTAAAAACAAGGTCCTCAGAATGGGAGCAACTGAGTCAGGGTGTTTCCAGGTGGGGTTTTTGTCATCCAGTCATTATGGCCTCCTTCACATAGTTTTAGGAAGGGTGCAGATGGTTACCTACAACTTGTAACCGTGCTGGGCTTCTCCATTACTTCTTCCATTCTTATTTTTCTTTCCACCAAAAATCTATTAAGAAAGAAAAAACGGAATAGCTGCCCAAAGTCTTTTGATTATGAATGCTAGTGACCTGGAATCAACTTCTGGATTATGCAGGAGATTCAAGGACAAAATTCATAGAAAGGAACAGAGATGTTCTCGTCTGTTCAGTGTGGATTGCTCCTCTTCTGCATTTCAGCAGCCATGCCTTTTGCCAAAATCCCATCTTGGCAATTCCATCTTCTCTCCTCCAGTTTCTCCAGTTCTTTCCCCTCAACAGACAATCATGACCTCGGGGGACGGAGCATGATCAGGTCACACTGGGCTGCTCAAGTTTCCTCCCCACCAAGGTTTCCCCCTAAGATTTTTAAATACTTCTGAAAATCTCCATGTATTATTTTCCTAAACTAATTCAGGTTTCTTGGCCAGACTGGAGCCAACCTCATGACGGACCTTGAGGTTGTGATATTTTTATTGTACTTTTATCATCTCATTTTATGGACTGTGTAAACCACCCAGGGCACTTTGGCTGTGAGGTGGGCTAGAAAAACAGCAAACAAACAACAAACAAACAGAGTGCTTAAAGAATGCCACTAATTACATCTTTCGGGATATATACCTGGTGAAAGCATCAATAAGCAGCTGATCTGTCCCAAGTTCCTCCCTTTACAGGGTTGGAACTTGTAGTTCAGGTAAATGGCTCTGATAGCTGCCAAGGCGCCAGGTTCCTTCACTGGGTTCTCAGGAGAGAGCTGAAAGAGACTCTGATCTGAAACCCCAAAGAGCTGCCAGTTCTTGCAGACCAGAAGAGCAAAACATTTTAGCCTGGTGGACAAATTCTATTTTGGATGTGCTCTCAAGGGTAGCATTCCAGGGAAGTGTGGGGCTGACGGCAAAACGGATCACATACCAAAGATGCCAACACAGTTTCGCTCCAAGCCCTGAATGCCAGTTGCTAAGAAGCCTAAGGCATCCCGACCATTCTGAACGGGGCAGAACAGCGCAAGAGCAGGACAGCGCTGAATTATGGGGGCTTAAGGAGATGGGCTAGGCCCACAGGCCTTCTCAGGCTTCTCATCTGCTGACTTTTCTTCATGCAAAAGCACTCTGGTCAGCAGCACTGGTGCGGGGGTCTCCATGGCCCCAGTCACAAGCGGGTTGAGAGGAGAGCACTGTCAGTGGCCTGGCTGGCTAGCCACGATTGGTGCATGCCAGCGGGAGCTGGTGCCCAGGGCAGGCCAGCGTTGCCTTGGGGGCAGGCTGCACTGGGCTGCCGCACGCTCAGTGTTTCTCAGAAGCAGGCAGCTGCTGCTCTTGGTGGCCTCTGCACCTTTTCCTATTTGTGCCACTTCAGTGTCACACAGTGAAGAACACAGCGCATCTAAATGCATAACCCTGTGCATATTTAGTCAAAGCCGTCAAGGCAGGGCAACATCTTCCGTGCGGAAAAGAAAAGAGCTCATCTGTTGCATCTCTAGCAGAAAGGTACTAATCCAGCCAACTAAATATTTTTTTCCATGATTGGCTCAGCAATGGACATCCTAGCAGAGCAGTCACATTACAGCAGAAGTCTTTCGTTTTATTCCCAGTGCTGTCCAAAACACTCTCGGGACATGCCATTTCCTTGTCTCTGTGTCTCCTCGGAATATCATGAAATAATTAATGCTGATGACAGCAATGTTTACACGTTGTCTCTCTGTGGAAATGACAAACTAACCAGTATGTTGTCTTTGAAGTTCTCCTGCAGAGTAGGCTGTCATCTGAGAAAAGTGTTTTTGGGCAAAAAAGGAAAATGTTACCTTAGTGCTAATAGAAGCAGATAATTTGGCTACCACCGCAAATGCCTCCCCACCACACCAAGCTGGATTCAAGCGCACAGTGTTGCCGCCAGACGCCCGCAGTCCACCAGCAGCCAGTGCAGGTTGTGGCGACTGACCGCTGTTGAGTGAAAATGTGCTCGCTGAGAAGCAAGACAAAAGCTCCAGCATGTTCAGGGTGCCAAGGGCCGAAGAAGCTCATTTTTCAAGCTCTCAAGGGACAACTTCCCCACAAACCAATGCAATCCACTCTAAGCACGCTCAGCCGTGGAAGGCTGATGTCCAGTTTGGGGAGAAAAATAGACCCCTGGAGTTGGGGTGGTGCCTGGCATGTCCACCCCAAGGGGAATGACTACCTAGAGCCCTCAAAAAAGTGTTAACTACCTGCCTTATTTCAAGTCCCAGCCGACTCATCTATTCCATGCCAAAGGTCGCAGTTATTAAGAAACCTTCATGAAACACATTCCGGCTGAATCGCATTCACACAACCATTCCTCATTCATAGAATCCTAGAAACATCGTATAGTAGAGTTGGAAGGGTTAAGAGGGCCACTGGGTCCAACCTCCTGCTCAGTGCAGGCCTCCCAGTTGAACCATCCCTCTCAGATGGGTGTCTAGTAGCATCTAGAATGCCTCTAGCATGGGAGAGCCCATTACTTCCCTAGGTCACGGGTTCCATTGTCATGCTGCTGCTCTGCCAGGAAGTTCTTCCTGAGGTTCAGCCAGAACTTGGCTGCCTGTAGCTTGAGCCCATTATTCCTCTTCTTGCACTCGGGGATGATCAAGAGGAGATTCTATCCTTCCTCTTTGTGACAGCCTTTCACATACTTGTAGAGGGCTATCCTATCTCCCTTCAGTCTTCTCTTCTCAAGGCTAAACATGCCCCGCTCTTTCAGTCTCTCCTCGGAGGGCTTTGCTTCTACTCCCTGGATCATCCTTGTTGCCCTCCTCTGAACATTTTCCAGCTTTTCTGCATCTTTCTTAAACTGTGGTGCCCAGAACTGGGCACAGTACTCCTGATGAGGCCTAACCAGTGCTAGGTAAAAAGACCTAGTACTTCATGGGATTGGGAGGTGATGCTTCTATTAACACAGCCTAAAATAGCACTGGGGGTTTTTGAAGCCACATCACCTTGTTGACTCATAGTCATCTTGTGATCTACAACAATTCCAAGATCGTTCTCACTTGCCGTCTTGCTAAGCCAAATATTCCCCGTCTTGTAACAATGCATTTGGTTTCTTTTTCTTCGGTGCAGCACCTGGCCTTTGTGCCTATTTAATTTCATTCAGTTGCTGTCAGGCTAGTCTTGCAACCTATCCAGATCACCTTGAATCTTCTTTCTGTCTTCCAGGGTATTAGCTATTCTACCCAGTTTTGTGTCATCTGCAAATGTGATACCCATCCTCATCCAAATAATTAATTAAAATGTTGAAGAGCACTGGGCCCAGGACTGAACCCTGCAGTCCCCACGTGTTACCTCTTCCCAGTTTGAGAAGGTGCCACTGATGAGCACTGGCTGAGCCCAATCCTCTAGCCAGCTGTGGATACACGTGATAGTTGTTCCATTCATTTATTTCCATTCACTTATTTAAAACATTTCTATACCATGCCTATACCCAGTCAGGTCTCTGGATGGTTAGCCCACTTTTAGCTAGCTTACTAATCAGGTTTTTACTTCGTCAAAAGCTTTGCTGAAGTCAAGATAGATTATGTCCACAGCATGCCCACAATCAATCAAGTCAAAAGTCCAGCAGGATTTGTTCTTGACAAATCTGTGTTGGCTTCTAGTAATCGTTGCAGTCCTTTCAAGGTGTTTGCAGACTGACTGCTTTCTAATCTGCTCCAGAATTTTCCCAGGGATTGCTGTCATATTGACTGGTCTGCAGTTCCCAGGTTCTTATTTTTTTCTTTTCTTGAAGATGGGGCCACATTTGCCCTCCTTGTCATCTGGCTCTTCTCCTGTCTGGCATAATTTCTCAAAGAGAATAGACAGTGGTTCTGAGAGTTCTTCCATCAGCTCCGTTACGACTCTAGAATAGAGTTTATTGGCCCCTGGAGATTTGAACTCTTTCAACCCAATTAAATGATCCTTGACCATCTGCCTATCAATTCTGAGCTTCCATCCTGTTCCTTCAGCTTGTACTTCTCCTGCATGAGGGAGAAGCTGGCTCTTCGTCTGGAAGAAGACTGAGCCAGAGCAGGAACTGAGCTCTTCTGCCTTTTCTTTGTCATCTGTTAAGCTTTTGCCATCCACATTGAGTAGCTGATCCCC